AGGCTTTCATCCAGAGTTGGATCCTCTAGCGGTTTCACCACTGACAGAGGAACCTCAATCAAACTGCTTTTGGCTTGGCCAGACAATTCTGACTGGAAAGGGATCTCTGTTGGCATCACCGTGAAGGTCTCTACCACAGGGTGGGCTAGAACTTCAGGGAATGTTGACTCTAAAGTAGGTTTGAGCTTTACATCGGACTTCTGAGCTTTCTGGTAATCTGTTTCCATGTCAGTGGTCTTGGATTGGTGGGGAGCTTCTGTTTCCTGGGTTTGGGCATTAGTACCTACTTCACTTTCCTCTTTTTTGTTCTGCAGTTTTGGGGAGCTACAGGGGGAGCTGGCTATACCCACAAGCTCTCGCTCTGGGGAAAGGAGGGAATGTGTTTCCTTGTTTTTATCTGCAACTGGAGCGACCGTCTCCAAATTGGCGGTTGCTGGTTTCTCCCCCATGTAAACGAAGGAACTCGCCAGGGGCTGGCAGGGAGAAAATCGCCGTAGCCTTGGGATGCTATCGACAGACTGCGGCGCGGTTAGGACGCGACTGTATGGGGCCAGCTTGAGCTCGCTGGGTCGAGCGGTGCGAGGATTACGTGAGTGGAAGGACGCCGATTTCCGTTTGATGCTGGTTGGAGAGCGATGGGTGGAACGAGGGGAGTCAGCCGGAGAAGAGGGTCCCGAGGATCGAGTGACGGCTCCGGCTCGACCGTGCTTCTGCGGCGAGGGGTTTGTATGTGGAGGAGGGATGACCCACGCCTGCTGCTGTTTTTGCTCCCTCATGGCCATGATTACTTCTTGCTGCTGAGCCAATCGCTGCATCTCAGTTTGGAGGAAGGCCAAAGAGTGGTTGAGTTTCTCAATTGAACGTGTATACTCTGTGAGATCCACTTCTGTCAGCTGAGCGTGGCTTTGTCCGCCTTCCTCACCTGCACCGGGAGATTTTTGCCAACAGGAAGCCGTGCTGCTTTGCTCTGCCCCGTCAGGTGTGTCTGCCTTGTTCCTCCCAAATTTAAAGGTAGGACTTGTACTTGCTGACTTTCCTTCTCCCTCGGTTTTTCCTCCCTCTTCTCCACTTGCGCCGTCACCTTTTCTCTTTACCACGTTTAGGAATGCTGAGTGGCCCATCTTTTGCCGATGCCTTGTGAAAGCTGCCTCCACTTTCTTCTTCTGCGCCTCGATAGCTTTCCGTTTCTCCTCGAGCCTCATCCGCAGCTGCACCATCTCTGTAGCCATGACCTGAGCGGGGTCATTGGGTGGAAGCTGGACAGGTGTGGGTGACGGCTGTGAAATAGGGGGCGGTGTGGTTTGTTGGCGGACCGGGCTGTGCTCAGGGGTCGGGGCCCATGAGACAGATAATGGGAGCCCGAATTCAGAGCCCTCCGGAGTGGTCTTCAGCGAGCTGCAGCTGCCCCTTCCTGAGTCTGGTGCTGATGGATTAAGCTTCTTCATCTTCTGCTCAGCAAAGCTAGTCATCTTTACTGCTGAAGGGGATTTGCTTTGACTGCTCGTGCAGGGGCTCGGCGTGTCCATGTCCAGCTCCATGTTCACAGAGCAGTCTCTCAGAGAGGAATCTTCATCCAGCATGTCCTCTGTTTGGATATGGATGCCAGTGTCCACTTCTGTGGTGTCCGTGGTGCTCAAAGGTCCTTTGGAGTCCACCTCTGACACTGGATCTAAAGCACCAATGCCGGCACCATGTTCCTGACTATGCAGAAAGAAACCATTGTTGATGCCCTCCACTGGTGGCCTGGGTGGGCTTTGGATAATCTGGAGGGCTTCCTCCATGGACGGAGTTGTTTCTGTAACTCCTCTGTGTCCGTTGGAGTACCCTTGCTTGCTCGGCTCCATGCCAGGAAGGCTGTCTGGGCAGCCTTCCTCTTCAATGCCGACACTCTGACCATTCACTGGCTGGAAGGACAGGTTGCGCTTCATTCCACGGGGCATGTGAAGGACCTTGAAACCAGAACCATCATCCGTGCTGACAGACCTGACCATGCCACGTGTGGAGGGAACAGTGGCAGGCGCAGACTCCTCTTTATCAAAGGGGATGTCAAAGGACACACCGTAAGGCCCAGATCTTAACACAAAAGACAAAACAAAAAACAACAAGAAATTTTAATTAAATTTTGCAGATTTGGTTAACAAATGATAAAAGGTTAGACATAAAGAGGGCAATGATAACACTCACCTCTTCTCTTTTGGCCAGGTACCGAGATTGCCATCAACAAAGGACATCGAGGTTGACCTCTTGATGTCTCCTGTAAGACGCATATGATGAGTAACAATCACAACAGAATGCTTTTGTATATACTTTGCATGTATTTTCATAAATAAATATAATCACCTGAGTTTCGGGGCTGGGGCCGCAGGGGTAAACTTGAGAACGAGAGACAAACATGATGATGGGAACTGAGAATTTTCTGCCACCTGATTTCTTGTCATTGTAACTTGGTGCTAACATACCTGGGTCTTTCAGGGCTTGGGGGCCTTTCCATAAAACTCTTCTTAGTTGCCTTGGAGATGGGGATTACAGGGAAATTCTTCAAGAAGGATGAGGGCTCTGATGTGATAAGACAAATAAAAATGATCGCACTGTGGTTTTTCAATAGACACAATGTAATATTGCATGATCCTTATCTGATTAATTTGTGTATGATTCAGAGAAAAAACATTACCATACTCAGTTAGTGCTGCTTCGCTATAAATCGTGACACTAGCATGACTATAGCTACTTTAAATTTAATTGAAACGGCATTACATTTTAGGTTAGCTTTCCCTTCATCCGTAGTTTACAATGATTTGTGTTTATTGGAATTGTGTATGTTGGAATGAACGTCTGACCATATGGTTGATTATGCATCTATGTTCGATCATGTACGCTTTAATGTCTGAGTTTTATTCAAAACTGTGACGCAATTTGTGTCTCTTTGAGAAATGCTATACAAATGAAGTTGCAGGGTTCGAATTTCACACTTGCCTGTGCCTTCGGTATCGAGCTTTCTTGGTTTCACAAATGACGGTTTGACCACCTCAAACCACCAAAACAGCTCTGCCATGAACACCAGGTAGTTATTCTGGGGAGGAAAACAAGAGCGAGATTGAAACCATTCAAAACACGTAAATGCTACAGCACAGAGAATAAAACAGCATGTTCAACTTCATTCAACTGCATTGTCTGATTTGTCCAGCAGGTGTCTCTGTTAAGCTGAGGTATCATAAACTTGTATTGTACCCAGTGTATATATGACTAATTAGTTGATAGAATATCCTCTTTAAGAGAAACATGCCTCACAGTTCAAACGACTGTAGAGTCATTTACAGGGAAATTATATTTTCTCTGTGTTGGCTCAGGTAATGTAAATGATGCTAAAGCAAATAGTACCAGTGCTAGTCGAGAAGCGATTAAGACATTAACCTCATTTACAAAATAGAGGTCACCTGGATCCAACCTGAATGAGACTGAGAGTCAGAGCTCAAAGGGATTTAACACTGCTGTGCCAGGTCATGTCCACGTTTGGATCGGGTCAACATACACGAGGAGGTGAAACTGCTGGAGGAGAGTGCACTGCGCTGCAAAAAAACAGCAATCTTACAAAGTCCCTGACTCAGTATTTCATTCTCCCAAGACACTGTTGTTTGTTTCCTTATAATAATGGGGAAAAAAAGCTTATTCTCTAGAAACATTGCCTTTCTTCTGCTCCCTCTTTCTAAATTCTTTCAATCTGTCCCCGTCTTGAAACAAACAAATGACCAAATAACATGTCTCCAATCCAAACAGATGAGATTCGTTTACAGTAATCAATTTATGCTGAATGATCAGGCCAAATTGTGCATTTTTTCCTTATTCACTCACAGACGCACACAAATGCAAATGAGTGGAGTAAAGCACGACCTTGAGGAATCCCACCCTCTACCAGCTCTCAGTCCACGGTCTCCAGACAAAGACAATGGTGCGTGCTCCAGCTCTAAAGAAGCCTGACTCAAGTCATGAGCAGCATCTTTCTGTACCCGTCAAACACCAGGGCGCACGTGTCAACTGAAGCACAAAAGCACACCAGGAAGGACGGAGGCAATTAACACCAGCACCCTGGTTGGCTGGAGGGGGGGGTGTTACTGCAGCATTTCACATGGTTTAATTCACATGCGAGCGTGCAGGGCTACAAGAAGACGAAAAGGTGTGTCTGCTGCAGAATGCTGCTCCGCTGGTGTGAGAAGCAGTGGAGCACATGGTTAACAAAGTCGTTAGAGTTGAGTAAAGCAAAGAATTACTAATGAACTCCAAATCAAATAGTGCTGGTTACCTTTTTGGTGTGTTCAGCATGTGAAGCACTCCTCAGAAGAAAGAAAAAGCAGGAAAAAATGACTGAATGAGAAAGAGACAAAGATCTCCTGTCATCCGCCCTTCCCAGATTGGTGCCACCAGCTTACTTGTTCTCTCCTCCCATCTGTTCGCCCGACTACTACTGACACACCAGGTGTGAGTGTTTTTGCTTAATACCCCCAGCCTCAGTACTCACACACACACACTCAGTCTGATCCCTTAAACCAACCACTGCACCACCACCACACCTATCTCCCCAGTGAATGGCATTACTGCCTCGTGGGTTGCCAGGTCTGCAGCATTGCCAAGTTCCCTGTCTGCAGATTTGAGCGTGTGCCGCTCAGAATGAAGTCAGATTGGTGATTACTAGAAGACTAGAAGATCAGAGCTGAGAGTGGTGGGGTGGGGGAAGCTAATCCACTTTGCGGGTATAGGAATAAACACCCTCCCCCTCCTCCCCTGTATGTGCCACACACATACACAACAGTGAAACATTCAAATGCATAGGAAAATATATACCAACAAAGCCCCTAAAATGATGTTATCCAGCTCAGCGCACGATGCGGCCTATAGCCACACAGTGAGCATTCAGAGGGAATTAATCTTAACAGTCACTGGGCCAGAGGGTTGATTAAAGGATCTACGTCCAGCAGCCAGCCAGACAGACTCACTCCAATCTGGAAAAACCACCCTTTGGTCTATCGCCAAGTTTATCAGACAGCTGCCAGACGCCTATTGAAAGACGGTAGGAGAAAACATTTGGATTTTTAGAAGCGATTGCTCAGAGACACGTAGTATCGGACATCATATTACTTCCTGTTACCCTGCCACTCTTTACCTGACAGTGAAGAGGAAATTATACTAGACTGCAATGTGTGTTTACTACAGCCACGGCTATTATATGTAATCCTTCACTGCTGACAGTCAGATCATAAACAAATGACTAATTGAGAATCACGTTGAAGAGGGAGATTATGAATTATTGTAAGTGTGTTAACTGCCTCCTCAGGGCAACCGCGGCATGTTTGCGAGGAACGTCGTGGTACAAAAGGAGCTGGTGAATTTCATTTATCTTCCTTGAGTCCACAGATAGCCACTATGATGTGTGAGGAATTAATTAAACATAGAGCCAGTAAATGGGAGCGGGTTGGGTGATTTAGTGGTCTGGTGTCCATTAGCAAAGAATGGCCTTAGATAATGTATGTGATATATGGCTTTTGGGTTCCTTACAGAAAGGAAGAAAGTGTTTTGCTTCTTACTATAATGTCAAGTCAACCTGTCATCACCATACATGCAAACTTTGTGTACCTTTAGAGGAAAGAGTGCAGACTCTTAATCTTGGAGAGGGCTACATATGGTGTCTGACATGAAGATATCAGGCAGACTCGTTTGGGGGTGTGTGGGCAATAAATGTTCCCACTGTAACGCTTCATGCTCTTTTCCAATTTTCTGCACCTGATTTCTTAGGAAGACTGATAACATCTATTAAATGATCTTCTCCACACCAGCTAGAGTTAATCATTTAAGCTAAACCGTGGCATCTTCCAGGTTCTCTCTTTACTGCAATCCTATATTCTGATGCACTTTATTGTCACGTGTTATATCTTATGAATTATGACTATTTTAATGTCAATCAATTGAGAAGTGTGCTTTTAACCGTGATCGGAAACCACCAGCTCTAATCTCCGCTAACCACATCTGGCAGCAGCATTAGCAGAGGGACACTTTCACAGAGGCAAAGTGTGAGTCTATTGTGTGTGTTACTGTAACACGTGTGCCCAATCTTGTCATCACTTTCCCAAAGATACTGTCCCATTTACTCTGTTTCCTCGCTCCTTCTCCTTCCTAATTGTTTCAAACTGTGTTATCACACCTTCTTGTCGCTTCTCTCCCGTTTCCACTTTTTTTCCACATCGACACCTCGTGCGCCTCCCCTCCCCTCTAAGCGGAGACTCATTCTCTGTAATATGGTCTCCATCAGCGTGCATAACAACATACGACCACCGAGGGTGTGACTCCCTGCAATCTGGGTCAAGGTTACTGAATCTAACTAGTTCTGTGTGCACTCGTGTCTGCCGCGCTGCTTCTCTCAGGCAATTACTGTGCCTGCTGAGGCTGCTCTACCCCTCCTGAAATCAGTGTCAGCAAAATGCTGCTAATGGCTGGTTCATAAAGCTTGGTGATTATTTTTTTGACACCATGTTGAAATGCATGTGCTTTGGGCTGAAATTGATATGTTTCTTTTGCTTTTTCTTTTCTTTTTTTCTTTTTTTTAAAGAAATTTTATGCAAAATAAATCAATAAAGGGCACTTTCCTCTAAATATGAATACATTTCATTACTTTTGGCATATAATGATACTTTCAATACTTTCTACCTTCATCATTTTGCTGGATTTCAGCTTCAAAACTGCTTTTTTCAGCATGTTTTTCCTTTAGATATTAGACATACTTTAGTCAGTTTGGACAGTCCCCTGAGGTTTGTCCTTTCAGTGACCTGTATTGTGTGTGTGCTCAGAGCTCTCCTACATCTGAGGACATGCTGAGGTGACAGTCAGGGAAAGTCAAACTTATCCAGACACATCAACTTATTTTTCCTCTGCCCGTGCAGCTCTTGGGCAAAACACACCGAGACCGACACACTAAAAACAAACTCAAGCATGAGAGAGGGAACGTTAGATCAAACCACTGAGCAAACACAAGTGCACTGTGATTGTGGCAACCACTGGCTATAATGGCAATTTGATGATAAATTAGTAGGTATGCAACAGAATATATATATATATGTATATGCAGTATGCACACCAGCTGACCAAGTAAACATACTGAAATGTCGTGGATTCAAAGAGAGAGTGGAACATTAGTGAGAGGGTAAAATAAGCTCTTTCCTGTGTGTCTCGAGTGACCTATATATGTTTTTATGGTAACGGCAGAAAAGCAGGGCTGAGCTTAATGTAAAATGCGGACTGTCTCCATGGCACTCCAGCTGCAATACACATTCATACACCAAGAAACCACACACACACAGAGAAACGACAGTGTTATAGACGAGAGAGGACTGAAGGATTTATAAATCAGAAAGGTCTCTGTCAAGAGAAACTAATACTGTCTGAGAAAGGTCAGCAAACATGAGGAGAAACATCATTAGTAAAATTCCATAAAAGCAGTGGCAAGTTTTTAAATGAAATAAACGAGCAAAAGAAAAAGGATGGTTGGAGAAGAAGAAAGAGTAACTAGAGAAGGAAATTAGGAAATGAAGATGAAAAGAAAACAAACAATGGAAAGCAAGTTACAGGGCAGAAAAATGAACGCATGCATAGACTGTTTGGAGGAAAAGGCTGAGTGGAGCTCTCCAAGCTTGTGGCTGGTGAAGACGGATAGTTTGGACTGAAAGTTTCTTTTCCACAGCGTGACTCACCACACTGGCCTACACTGCTGCACACTTCTCTTGTTTCATTTAGCCTGAATCTAACACCACATGGGGTTCTAATCTGTGTCGGTACACAAGTGTTTTCCAAGTGTTTTGGAAAAAAGTCATCAACTCTGACTGGGACTGACATCGCAAACTAGTGTTTTAAATAGAGCAGGCGGCACTGCGGACTGGGTCTGGATTTTCTGCTAACAGACATTTTTTACTGGGTACCATTCTAACGTTTTAGCAGCTAAAATTCTATTTTTACAACACTGTAACGACTAAGAGTGAAGAATCTGTTTACAGTGAGAACCATGAGACCGCCAAGCAACCAGTAAACCAAAAAAACAAAATCAGCATCACAACGCAAGCCTCAGATCACACCACAAACACAAATGCAGTGCCTATAAATGTATTCTTACAATCTTATATATTAACTTAAGCAATAGTAGACAGTAGTACCTTGACGGTGGAGGAGGCGTAGAGCATGTCTTCCAGGCTGAAGTGGCAGCAGCTGTTCAGGTTGTCTTTGCAGAAGTCTTGTATTAGCTGCAGGTTGTACAGTCGATCAGCCAGACTCATATTCTCCTTCAGGCAAACATCTGGGAGGGCAGAGAGATCCATCAGGTGTCACTGTGACGCAGTACGAATTTGATGATTGAAGTCGGTCTGGTTATAATGCAGACGTCAGTGTTTTCCTTTTTACTGTGCTGACAGTAATATTTAAGATCAGTGACGGAGTGCGTTCAGAACGATGCTGTGTCTCTTTTTTAGGAACTGCTGAGGCATTTAAAGCGTAAAGTTTTGTGAACGTCTGCGTGACCAATCAAAACACTCCACAGTAGGCATCAACTGGTGGTTGGACGTAAGGTAATTACATCACATTGCTGATGAAGTGTGTGTAATAGCTGACCAAACACACACAAACACCCCCCCCCCTCCCCCGCACTACTTACATCCACAGTCATTTATCAAAGCTGAAACAATCACAGGAACAAAAGATTAATCAGGAAACACTGTTCATTTAAACACGGTAAACAACATTCCCTGATTGATTTTTGTTCCCCTCATTGTTGTCTGTGCGTTTGCATATTTGTCCTGATATTAACTCGGCTCTTTGGCAACATAATGTGATTATTTTGAGTCTATTTTGATGTTTGATCTATTGAATAAACCATTAGCTCTTTCCCTCATAAAGACAACATTTGACGACCTCTCCCTGTGCTCTCAATTATGAATTTTGAAACCTCAATATGTACCAATAAGATGCATTTCGGGTTTAGTTGTTTGGTCAAATAAGCAATTAACCGCTGGTAGATACATTACTGTCATGTTGTACTTTATTATCAAGCCTCCTTTAACTGCAAATTCCACTGACCCACCCACGCTCCTCATGCTTGTTTCTTACCATCCAGTGGCAGCAGCTGAGGACAGTAAAAGTGCAGCAGTGCACCCAGGGCCGAGCCATCTGTGCTGTCTTTTAGCAGGTTGTCCACTGGGGGGATCCAAGGAACTGGCTGGGTCGAGGCCTGCTCCTTCCTGTAGCGAGCCTGCAGAATGTAAACTACTATAAACCCAGGCGCTTTAGCAAAATTACCAAGCCTACACCTACAGCAGGTTTTAGGCCAAATTCCTCCTGCTGTTTCTTACTGTTTCACTAATGACAGCAGCAAAATTAGGGAAGTATAATGGAGCTTTAAAGCAGCAACAAGCGCTGCAAGGCCTCATTGAATTCACTCATGTATTAAAGTAAGTGAACGGCTCTGGAGCCTTGTTGGAACTGAAAAGGAAAAAGAACTGGCACGAGAATGAAGAGAGCTGCATGATTGAAGTAAGTATCACTGATTATTATTCCAGATGTCATGACGTGACCTTAATTATTTTCTCCTTGTATTGCAATGAGCTCTTGTTTATGTGACCATCTTCATCTTCGTACGGATTGAGGAATTACACACAGCTCTGTATGGAAAAACATTGAAATATTGCCATTTCCTTATCAATTTGATGTTTATAGTAACTGTGGGAGCTTTTAGATTTCTAAAAGCCAATAATAATCAGTGATTTCCCAAGATTTTATAGTTCAACCTTCCAGTTAGCAATACAAGGAAGCACGTTAGAGACACAAATAATGGCTATATTGACTTTTGTAAACTCAGGCTCATATACAGAACATGGTTAATGATGGACACTCAGATATAAACTGTCATTTACAGCCTACTTTGTCTGCTTTAAATTAAGAAAAGCAATAATCACATGCACACAGCACTTGTAAATCAAAACAGGAGAAGAGAGAAAATATCTGGTTTATATCACAGTGACTGAGTGATGCACACATGATAAAACGGCAATGATGATGGCGATCGGACAGAAAGAGACAGTCACTCTGGACACAGATGAAAGAGCAGCGCACTGATTAGTTCACTTACAGGCACAAGCTTCATGTACCACTTGGTTGGAGACTGCAGATGCACAGCAAAGGGAAAAGACAAACAGCAACAAAGAAATACCTGTTAGTCAGATTAGTTAGTAATGGGATTAGTATTACAAGCAAAGACATGACAAACCTGCACTTTTTTCAGAGTGTACAAAAAGACTGTATACAGCAGGCTGTTACTGATTACACATATATTACAGTTGCTTTGGGTTACAGAGTTACTGTGTACTTTCCTCACATCAGCTCGGAGGCTCATTCTTTAAAGATACATGGAAACACTACACCACGACTATTTTCCACCAGCTGACAGTCGATGTGTTAAACCTCGAATGGAACTTTAGACTTAAGCATCAAATTCCCCTCAAAAAAGATCACATTGTGTCCTGAAACATTTAACTGAAATTTTAATTGCTCACTTTTACCTCACGTTACCTCAGTGGGAAAAAAAATGTATTACTGTAACCAAACTGTCAGCTATCCAGTGTCACTGTAAGCTGATTCCAAAAAGGAGAGGATTGCCTCAGTTAACAGCTAATTCCCACGCGACGGAGAAGCATCAAAGACCTAAAATGTAAGTGCCACTCAAGAGGTCTGCGAGCCCTCGACTTCAAAGGCACGCAGTGACTCGTGAGAAGATACAGCTGCTTTGTTCTGAAACCTTCAAAAGTAAATATTAATGTCAGCCAGAGGAAATAAATATTAAAGACAGCAAAGAGGATGAAAGGATCAATAGTAGCTTTCGAAGATTCTTCTGATTTTATTGGTGCTACAGCTCTCTGAATGATAATTTGATTTGGCTTCTAACCTTCGATAATTCTACTTCCACTAAGCTCACTGACCCGGAACGATTCTTGACCTCAATAAAAGTAGAGCTGGGCGATAGAATGATAACGATATGTATTGCGAAATAACCTTTTCTCGATAGAAAAGTTAAACTATTGCGATAGGCCTCATCTCTCCTGTCCTCTTAAAAAAAACGAAAGAAGAACAGCCAATCCAAATTAACTAGCGCAGAGCCGAACCAATCACAGCCGCAGCGTCACGTCAGGTGACTTGTTACGTACAGCACAAGTGCCAAGCCGCACATGTGTATTTGTTTGGGAAGCAGCCAGCCGCCGTGCCGCCCGGGTAATGGAGGAAATGAGTGCGCCGACTAGAGAAAAATCAACCGAGGGCGTGACCGAAGGTTACCGAAGAGAAAACAGATGATGGCTCCAATGCCGGAGAGATTGTCGACCGGAAGAGCCATAGAAGTTCTGTAGTGTGAAGGTATTTCGGCTATTTCAAGTCTGACAAAAAACAGAGTAGCGCGCACCGTAAATTGTGCCGAAAGCAAGTCTGGAAATACAATAAACCAGTGCATGCTCGATCTCTGACTGAAAGCGCTAATTCGTCATTCGGCTTTTGTCAGACTAAAGTAACTGTTGAAACTGTTTGAAAAGCTAAGCTATACAACAAGGAGAGATTGAGAATTTCCTTTTAGTTCTCAGTTTATTTGATATTGACAAAAGTTAAGTCAATTTTGTCTGTTCTTCTGTAAAACAAACTAAGATTTATTTTTAGAATTAATATTTTGTTTCTAAGTGGAATTGACAATTTAGTCTGTTTTGTTTGTTCTATTTTGAAACTTGCCTTTTGCCTTTTGTGTCATGTTCCTTAAGTACATCTACCCTGTTGAACTTATTATGGGAAATAAATATTTAAATCAAAACATGGTAAATGGACTGGTTCTTATATAGCGCTTTTCTACTCTGTCCGAGCACTCAAAGCGCTTTATACAGCTAATTCATTCACCCAATCACTTCTAAGTTTAAGTGCTAAGTATCTAACATTCATACACATTCACACTCCGATGGATGCATCGGAGAGCAACATGGGGTTAGTATCTTGCCCAAGGATATTTGGCATGCAGACTGGAGCAGCCTGGGATTGAACCACCGACCTTCTGGTTAGTGGCTGATCCGCTCTGCCACCTGAGCTACAGCCACCCCGCTAAACAAGCTGCTGATTATTTCACATTTTACTTGTGAGCAACGGCACATTTAAATCTTACAAATATAGTTATTTGGCTTATATTGTGATATATATCGTTATCGCCTGAAATGAAAAAAAACATATCGTGATATAAAAAAATCTTATATCGCCCAGCTCTAAATAAAAGTATCATAAACCCTGCAGTCACATCACCTCTCCAGGCTAAGCGACATCAACAAAAACAACAACAACAACAAAAAGCTGCACCCAATCCATGACCTCACAAAGTCAGTGCAGGCCAGCAGGCCAACTTCAACATTTGGCTGTCAGTTGGGGAACACAGCAAACGCAGAGATCAGGATTTGATCACTTCTCAGGCTCTCATCAACATTCTGTCTCTTTTGGAAAAATATACTCACAAATCACAAATGTTTGAACTTTTATTTTCTCATTTTAACCCGAGTGTAAGGTTGTGTTTATGAAGAACAAACACAATGACATTTTGCAGCAAGGTAACCAAAACTACTCCAAACCCTGCTGTCCCAGATTGAGAGCAAGACACAGGAAATGGATGCTGTCTGTATCTAATGTGATGATTTAACCTCCTAGGACCTGGCGTCTAAATATGTGGACATCACATTTTGGGTTATTTAGACCAAAATACTCAATTTTGCTCTACAAGGGCCTGATATCCACTTACGAGGACATTATACTGCTACTGTTCTATCAAAATTTTAAACGAATATCCTCATATGTGGCTCTGATTTTTCATAAAAACAAAAATAAGGTAAAAACAAAAATCTGGTAATTCTTTGTTTTTACATTCATTGGGCCCCAATCAGCCCAAATATCAAAGAGAAATTAAAAATGCATAACATTAAAGAGTTCGGGTCTTAGGCGGTTAAGGCTGGTTAAAGAGTAAAATCTCCACCAATCAAACCCCTGGGGAGAGGCACAGTAATGCCCTCTTTTATCATCTTACAGCAAAGCACACACATGCAAGCACACTTTATTTCTGTATTTCTGTGTGTGTGTGTGTGTTTACACACACACACACCCCACCCAAATTCACCCCAGTCATCCCCCTACTCTCTCTCTCTGTGTTACTAGCAAAGTTCATCCTCTCATACAGAGGATGATGTCCGGTTGAGCTGCAGCTCAGCTTTGGCAACTTTAAAGGATTAGTCCTTCCTTCTCTGTCTGGACGTGCCTTTGCAGCTCCCTCCTCTTATTCTCCACCCACCATCACCTCTGAACATAATGCAGTAGGTTGAAATAAAAACACTGTTGCCCTGGTGAGCGTCAGTCTGTGTCTCTCTATGCCTGACTGAGACAGAGGCTGTGTGCGTGACTCACACTGCAGTAATACTGCAAAGACTAAAGGGGGGGAAGTATTTGGAGGTGGGGAGTGATGGAGGTACAGGGAGAGAATAGATGAATGTGCTAGACATAGACACGCAAAAAAATAGTAGCTATAAATTTAGCATGTAATTGTATTTTTTTCCTTTTTCCCTTCTGGGTGTTTTCAACTCTTACTTAAAAATAATAATAATAAAGAAGTAAAAAAACAAACAAACACAAAAAACCCAAACACATTTTTAGGCTGAAGGCTGCAAGTGAGAAATACATA